GTGGAAAAGAAAACCAGACGGGAATTTTGTAAATGTGTATTATTGCATTTACTGCACTTGGAACTGGAGCACTGTGAAATGCAGTGCAACAGAGACAGCAGTAGCCCTCTGCCTGACGGGCAGAGCAGGATGCACTTCCCTGCCATGGCCCTCTTCCCTTGCTTCAATTATCTCATTCATTCTTTCTCCTACACTTCACATATGAAACACAGCCGGGATTTTTGAGAACTATTTTCTGTCTACAGCTATGGTTTTTGAGAACTCGTACTAGAATAGTCCAGATACAACGTGTCCAGTTTAGGCTATCTGGTACATGCTAAAGATTCAAACTGCTCAATCAACACACCTTGAAAAAAACCACGTCATTCAAACTGCTGTCAGTTGGCTGTGGTTACACAGTCCATATGGACATCACCACAATGTGCACTCTTCATGAGTAATAAATCCAAGCTTAATCAAAGACCAATAGCAGCATTGGCTTTGAGCAAGCAGACATGTCTCAGGGAGGGTTATTTTTCCACAAGAGGTTTCCATGAGATTTATTTAGCTATTTCTAGTGTGGCGCTTGAGCCTTATGAGACTGATTTCTCATCATGAGGGGCATGAGGTTCTTTCTGAACTACAGAGATATTATTGCTAGGTTAGTTTCCAACCATGGAAATACTGGAGTTGCTGCCTTGAAGAACCATGTCAGATCTTCAGCTTAAAGCTGGAGGGTCAAAAAATGTTAGTTTTAAGTGACAGGTGTACAAATAGCCATAGTGGTGTGTTCCACCTGTTCCAATGGCCTGTCTTCATCACTGTTCAGGGTGACATATCCTGAGGAAGGTGTAAGAAATCATGTGGAAAGTGTAAGAAAAGACAGAGCAGGCCTTGACAATTACCTTTTCCCTTTCCCTTTCCCTTTCCCTTTCCCTTTCCCTTTCCCTTTCCCTTTCCCTTTCCCTAGCACTGCAGCAAATAGTTGTCCCAGGGATGGGAGTGTCATGATGGGGCAAGGAGATCTGAAAACTAAATGGTTAGAGTAACCAAAGAGCCCCTAAGTGTAGGGTGAAGGGGAAAGCCTCAGCACAGCAGCAGCTAGAGCACTGGGTATGAAAACGGCTGTTCCACAGACAGGTTTGCATGATTGGTTTCCCTGACATTAGCGTCTAAGCCCTTCAGCTAATTTATGTTTTTACATCTTTATATATAGTAAATGCATGTCAACTTTTTTATAATGGCTCCATGAATGACACGCTACTGCCCTGTAACTTGGAAGCTGTCCCTGTGGTTACATAGATGTGTCTGATTATAGATCAGCCTTTCAAAAGTAATAAAATGAAGTGGCATTTTATGTAACTCAATGGGTTACAGTAGGAAGCTGCTAACAGTAGAAGATTAAAATAAAATTGTTCTTGATATTTAAAAAGTGATGAAACGAGGAGAAAAATAAATCCACCCCCAAACACTGCAAATCACTCCTTACAAGCTTGGCATCTGTCAAGATCCTACTTGGAAAAAAAACCTTGGCTCCTTTGTGCAGAGTCCTCCCACACTGTTCAATGCATAAAGCCCAAGGGTAGTGTTCACTGTCCACAGACACGTGTGGATGGACCGTCCACAGGCACACTCAGCATCCTCATTAATAGATTACACTTATCACATTGCATTGTTTTTGATCACTTTCTAAAAATATTACTGCTAAATCTTCATATTCTGTGCATTTTCTGTGACAACTTAAATACAGGGGAACAGATTTGACACATCTCAGCAGGCTTCCGTATTCTTTAAAGGTAGGCCATTAGTGTGTTACATTTAATGTTTATATGTCATTGTGTATTAATTAAGTGATTGGCTGACATTTTAGTCAGCCAATTTCAACAGTGATCAGTCAAAGTATGATTGCAAGTTAAATGAAGTTATTCATAATGAGGGACTACACTCAGCTTGAAAGAAACATACGAATAGAAATAACTCCCGAGTTTTAGGATATCCATTTGTATTACTTCTAAAAGATAATCCCAGCATACTGTCTCTTGCCTTGATTTTCCTTTCATTTCTGTGACATGACTACCACCATAAATAAATGAACTTGCATAACTTTCAGGACATTCACTGGATGTGGCACTGAGTAGATTGCAAAGCGGAAAAGCACATTCTGCAAAATGCGTTCCTCTGATGAGACGGAGTTAGTCACACACATTTATTTCCACCATTTTGGCTAGGCATGTACCTATCTCACATATTTAATAAACACAAGATTATTTTCCAGAATTCAATGGAGTAATTTTTGCCATTAAACACTAAAAAAGAAAAAAAACCATAAAAATCAACCATTCACTATTGAAAGACTTTAATTATTGGGAACACTAACATCAAGAATGTTTACTTGAAAATGTTTCTTTCCACTTTAGTTCATCTTCAAACTTGTTACACTATGTTCCACTGACTAGTATTACAAATTACACTGACATGTTTCCTCGTACTTGCAAAAGATAGAACTGCAGTAAATCGTTTTACAAGTTGTTTGGAAAAAAAACATATATAAGAAATGATTCTTTCCTTCTTCTTCTATGATCAAGCAGAAGCTTAGTTTTAAAGTAACAATAACAGTCATTATAGAGCTAAATATATTTGACATATTTAACCTCACAAATAAATAAATATATACAAGGGAGGTTGCAGCATGTCAACTACAAAGTAGAAGCTTTACATTGCAGAACTGAGAGCATTCAAAAGCATCTAACTGACATAGACAGTTTAAGATTACTACATGGTAGTAAAAAAGAGAAAAAATCTTAATTCAGCACTAGTATATGTAGCTGTACATTAAACTGATAGGTTACAGCTCAGCTTCAGTCAGGATACTGTGTTGGCTTTTTATTTATATTTTACTAATCTGTTATGTTTTATTGATTCCTCATTTTTTCAGGAATGTTTTGTTTTCCTTCTCTTCACTTCTGAACACCTCAATCAGGTAGAAATCTCACAGTAAGCTGCTATGTGAACACTATTATCTACAGTAGTTAAGCAAGTGGGATGATAAAATATAAGTTCAGTAAATGCTTGTACATAATCTCTCCCTTATTAAAGATATCTGACAACACTCATCCCTGTTAATAATTGCATTTGAAGTGAACTGGGTTGACTTTCACTCATACCACCACGTAAGTATTTGCAGTTATGAGGTTTCGTTCAGGTCTGTGTAGCGACAGCAGTGTTTCTGGACGGAATACCATCAGGACTTCCTCTTCCACCAGGTGTTTGCAGCCAGGGAAAATATATGTCATTTGTGCAGTCACAGCATTAAATGATCTCTGCACGCAAAAGTGTGTGCAAAGAGCAAAGAAAGGCACAAATTCACATCCCCAATCACTGACATCCACCTGCTTGGCAATTGAAAAATCTAGCACAACTTTCTGGTCACCTTCTGAATACAATTATTTAAATATTTGGCTAAAAATATTTTGGTTTAAGAAAAGGGCCATTTTTAGAATGAAAATTTCCATTAGGAGACATTCTCCTCTGAAAACAGTATTTGAACCTTTCATGTTTTAGTCCATGCCTTCAGTGTCACATGCAGTTACAATTTTTATAAAACTTGTCATGGGGCAAGACATGGTTCATGAGGAGAGAAGCACTTTTGGGAGTCATGCTCACATGCTACTGTGTCACACATTTATAGAGATTTAAACAAGTAAGTGTTTCATGCTCATCTGTTTTCTGCACACACACAGGACTCATATGCACACAGTATAGCAATGCAAAATTCCCTAATATTGCCTGAATACTGTTTAAACTCTGTGCCTCCTCAATCAAATCAACCAACAGCGGGGTAGGAGAGGGATACTGATAAAGTTATGTGCCCAGGAAGATGGTATTTATTTATTCTGGTAAATGTATTTCAGGTTATTCTAATGTTGCAATGCCATCTGATGGAGGTGTCTATACATACAGTATACCTGAAGTACAGAAAGTGACAAATGAACCCACGGGTTTACAAAGTATTCCTCTTGTATTTAAATACTTAAGTTTTAGCACCGTTCATTGTTCTTATATTTTCTGTGGTACACATTATGGTTTACTCTCTCACATTTACTGTGTGCATTATTATAAAAATACGTGTGGAGAGAGATCTAGGTATATATTTATACATTGATATATAGTTGAATGTCTTCTCTTTTGTTTGGTGAAAAAAGAACATTAAACAAAGAATTGCAATGGGAGATTATATGTTTCATACATAACAACCAATAAATGTTTAAACGTGACTTTGTGTAAACTTTGGATTTACCTGTGTACTTGTTCTGCATGGATGCAAATGATTTGTACGACTGTCTGTTTCCATACATATCAATTGGCTTAAAATTTGCAAGAAATACTAGAAACCTGCATGCCTTTCTCAGCAGCACATCTATGTAGTAAGTGTGTTTCTGTGTACAGGGAAACAAAATAGCCTGAATTTACAGCACATAGTATTTTGGTAAGCAAGATTTGTATGATTAGGTCTGTTTAGTCAAAAATGGCTTAAAATAACCCTTTAACACTGGTGTTAGGGTTTTATTCATTTACGAATAAAGAACAGACAGTACTAGACAGTCAAGAAGCAAGAATCTACAAGTGTTGTAGGTAAAATACATATTTTTCGAAAGAAAAAGACCTTCAGTAAACTGTTCAATAAGAGCTTGCCTGTACTGCGTGACACGTCTGCTAGTTTCTCCAGGAGTCAAAACTTGCTTCTCTTTCGAATTTAGAGTTAGGCTTGTGGCTCTTCAGACTTAAAAAATATTTACACAGGATTACAATTAGCTGTCCAGGCATCAGGTTGGCTGGCAAACATTTAAAAACAGCTCAATACCATGGTGGAAAATTGTCTTTTTCCACAACAGTACAAAGGTAGAGAAATTGGTTCTTGAGTGGAAGCTGCTAACAGGAGAACATTATAAACTGGGAAAAAATAACTGAACAGGCCACATTCTATGACATCCAGTATTCTCAATTCCAGGCCAACTTTTTGTCTTCATTTGGTTTAAAAAATTCAGAAGTCCAGTTAGAACTTTGTGCTGTGACTAAATGTGTCAGACATAATGATATTTTTATAGAAGTTGTCGGAGTGAGGATTGCAGTATCCCTTGACTTTGTCAATAACTTGGTGGACAGGAATGATTGATGTCTGTTCTCCATCCTCTTGAGCAAATTTCGAAGAGGGCTTGTCAAGAAAAACATTATCTAGGAAGAAGGAAAAAGCAACAACAAGAAGTTAGGGCTTCTTAAGCAAACTGATAGTTTAAGAGGTGCGTCACTCCCACATAGATATGCCTTCAATAGCCACTACTGCTGAATGAAATTGCTGCCCTAAAAGCCAGCAAACAACTTTTTGGCTTGGCGTTGCCTCTTCTAAATTCTTTTGAGATGCCTGGTTTTGTGGGCAGACCTCTCAGGTCTCTCTTGCAATTATCTCCCTATTCCTTTGACTGAAGTCTAACTGACTCCTATGACCTTTTAATATATTAATCTACCTTGAATCTTACAAACTAAAAACATTTTGATAGCACTGGAATAGGGATGATCTCCACAACATCTGGTAAATAACGCCTCCACATAATAAAGTAGTGGAAAGTGACAGTAAATGGATTTAATTATTTCAAGAGTCGAGGTTTTAAGCTATGCACAGAAATAATGTACTCTGCACAGAATGTAGCAGAAGATGACTTGCATCTTAAAGCAGATAACCAGAGCCAAAACTGGTCTAAACTTTGTCTTTGCCTAGCATCATTTTGTTTTATCCATAATGTGGAGGGTATGGACAGAACAACAGCGGGAGGAAGAGATGCAGAAAACTGGCATCCCTTCAGAGTTCGTGTGCTATAAGCCAAGGCTGGAGCTGAAGAGAAAAAGGAGTAAGGCAGTTCGCAGATGGGCTGGGAAAGTCTGCTTCAGCAGCTAACATTATTGCTGTTCAAAGTACGGTCAGTAGGTAGAGCTCATGTAGTGAGCAATGAGAAGAAAACCTGTATCTCATTTTCTCAAGTACATAGTCCTAATGAGCTTTCTTATCTCTTCCGCTGTAGTGAATAAAGCTGGAATTAATTCTCTTAACCCAGGCAAGTTTTGAACCATTGCAAGCCGACAGTAAGATGGAGTATCCTGTGAAGCAGTGTTTTCTGCGAGTGACACGCTTGATGGCTGTTTACAAGGCACTGGTGATATCACCTTTAAAAATTCTTTGGGAAAGGATAATTTAAGAATTTAGCTTTTAACTTAAACTATGATTTCATACAAAACGTTTTTCTTATAGAAAGTAATTAACTAAAACTAAACAGAAAAGTAACCCACCCCTGCAGAAGTCATGATATCAAGCCACAAAGAATATAAAGTGTTGCAAAGGAGAAATGGATTGCAAAGTGAGAAATCAAAACAGTTTCACTCATGAAAAAAGAAACAGGCATGTTCAGGCATATCAGGATGATTTTTTCAAAGCACGCAAGAATATCCATGAATTGCAGCAAGTAACTCCATGTCCAATAGCAAACTGCTAAGTACTGTGTGCTTTCCAAATGTATGCATTTATTAGCCAACACTACTACATGTTGAAGTTTTTCAACATACTGAGTATCACAAAGGTGCAAAGCGAATTCTCAGTCTTTAGGGAAAGTTTTTGAAATTCCTTAAAAATGTGTACACTTTTTCTTTTTTTTCACAAGGCATCATTAAATACCAGCTATTTCCTCATAAAATTTGCATGCACAGGAATTATGTAAGACCTTTGAAGCCAGCAGGGCACTCTTTCAATTTTTTATAGCTCAATGGACTTCACACCCAAGTACAGGGTTAAAATCCTGTATCACTGAAGTAAATGGGAGTTGTACCACCAAACTCTCTGCAGAAATAATAACTTCTAATTCATAGATATAATATGCATAGTATTTAAGTACTATCTACAAGATTGTATCAGACTCATAGACAGCAGGGCCACAAGATGCCAAAGTGATTTCTTCCGTCCACCTAGTAGGGTCGACCCAATATTTGTGCCCCAGTTGGTGCATTCTGCATTCAACCAGCAACTCACAGTACAGTTTTCAGGCACATATAGTTCGTCATTCAGGCTTATTTTGGGTGTGACTGAATATGAAAAAACAATGGCTGGAAGACTTAATTCCACAATGGCCATAGACCAAATAGAAATACAGTATTTTAAAATTCCTTTTAAAATATTTTTAAAATACTAAAAATATTTCTAGGATTCAATCAGATTGTTTTTGCTTTTTAATATATACTTTGTCTATGTGTGTTCCAACTTAATGTCTTTTCCCCAGACTACTGTACACAGGCTTTAACAACAGGACATGGTCTGTTTTCTAAAATGGTATCTTCAATGCTTCATGCTCCATGCAGAGTGCAGACACCCAGAGTTTGAAGCATGTTTATCCTTTGATTCAGCATCAATGGTGCAAGATGTAACAGTGAGAAACAAGAAGCAAAGTCTTTTGTGTCAATGAGGACGTCATGCAAGTGGCATCCCTCCACCCTGTTGAAACCATGCATTCAAAAAAAGCAATTCTCACTTTACCTGTAATGCTCCACCACTGATGAAGAAAGGGCCTTAGAAGACATTATCTATACCACAAACACATGAACGCTTGTGTCAATTTCAGGGAGCGCATTTATAATCATATTAACAACAGCTGATAAGACACATAGCTATTACATTATTTGCCTGTAATTTAGCTAAGACATGAAACTGAGAAGTTTAGGTGTATTAAAAATCAGAATCTTAATGTTGTTTTGCATTATTTTATCACTTAAGAAGATATGCCAGCATTCAAAAAAAACTAACTTTAGCAAAAATCCCTTTGGAGTATCACAATAAAATGTGCATTTTCAGTGGTCAAAGCAAAATGCATTAAAAATTTAAAAATAATGAGAAAACTGTGGTATTCCCTTAATGTCCTATGAACAATCACATTATAAGCTATGATTACATTACCAACTACAATCAGTTTTAGGAAATAATTTACGCATGAGATTAAGCTCATCACTTTTAAAAAAAGTACAAATTTCTTTAAGTTAAAGAAATGCAAGTTTCTTTTAACTTGTTACTTCTTATCTGAAACTGTTTTATTGTTTTGTTTCCAGACTGCATTTCAAAAACTCTAGCACTAAGTCTCTTTAACTGTCAGACTGATAAAAAGCCCTGAGTCCAACAAAACACGTAAGCATGTTTTTATCATTAATGCCAATGGCAAGGGTCTAAATGTTGATTTGCAATGAGTATGAATGAGGATTTTCTGTCTGCAAAATAGTGAATGCTCTAAAGCGGAAAGGGCCCAATACTTTCCTCCTCTACTATTAAATTAACAATGATCGGTGGATGTTATAGATGTTGTTTATGGAAGACTGCTGACAGAAGTTTCCCTTCATAGGAGAGAGAGCTGAAGATGGTTTACTTAGGGCAGCTGAGTACGTGTTTCTAAGATACCGCTCATTTTTACTGTATTCAAAGCAAATGTACTTCATATCTATTCTCGATAACCAAAAAGGATTTACATTCTTAAAATACCTGATGTGCAACCTCTCATGCTAATTGATGCACTGAATATTGGTTAGTGGTTACAGCCAAAGAGAATAATAATGTAGTTCTTAAAAAATGGGAATTCTAGACAAAAATTGTGTGCTTAACTGAACCAGATAATGATCACCAATAAAAATAGGAATGTATGGAAACTATGCCACATATCAAGAATGGAGACTGTACCATTATAAATGAGACCTTGAGGCTTCTGAAAACACTCTTAAGAAAGAATGGAACTTTCCTTCTGGTAAAATAATATCTAAAACACTGCTTTTAACAACTATTTTACAGCAAGAAAATACTTAGGTTTAAATATGTTTGCAGATTTTATTTCCACTGTATTTTAGAAGAGGATTCTGTGATACTGTTAAGTGACTTTATACAGCACAAAACCAGGAGTTTACAAAAAGCCAATAACAAAAAAATCCCAAATATTTAGGTGATCTTCTGAAATACTGTCTCAGACATAAGCAGACTTGCAAATCATTCCAGCTCTTCTCTTTCAAAGTACTCTTAAAATGAGCATATTTTTATGGCATGAGTGGAATACAGACTATGCCTTTTACTACACACACCATTAACATTAACATCTAAATAAATAAACAGATATAGCATGCACTTTGTAGAAGGGAAAGATAATGCATAGTCTGGGAACACAGTAGCAATTTCCAAGTAGCCTTCATTTGTTACTTTACCTATAAGTGTGTTACAGTTAAATGGAAGCAGTTTGACCAAGTGAATCAGCTGTGGACTTGGATTCAGAAGACTTGATTGCTATTTCCAGCTGTGCTGCTAGCTTTTGTATTACCTTGGATAATGAATGTCATCTCCCCATGCTTTGGTTACTATGTGTTCACAATGGGATAAGATAAGATGACTTACTTTCTTCTAGTCAAAGTAGTGAATGTGCTATAGAAAAAGTAAGGTTTGCTTTCATCACACCTACTATGTTTAGTACGGAAACATGCCCAGATCAGAAGTATGTATTGACTGTATCATATACTATGTTAAGATTCTTACTAAATAGTAATGTATACTTTTAAAATACTGAATCTATACAAATTTTTGACATTTTTTCACACTACAGTTTGGGTAGAAATCCTTACTGTACCTTCAACATGAAACTACAAGAACTCACCTGTATGGCTGTTTCGTTTGCAATATGTATTTGTTGTAGATTTTGATTTGGATGTTAAGTAGGTTGAATTGGAGCCAATGGAACTAGAGGATAGGGATTTCCCAAGATTATCAGAACTCTTCTTTATAATATTGGTTGCTGTTTTGCTCCAATCTAAAAATGATTTGAAAAAAACCATAAACAATTACCACAGGTACTAAAAGCCCAATTCATTAAAATATGAACATTTCAAGTATCAGATGTATTTCTTAATGTTGCTTATAACAAACAGCTTATCCTTTACCTGTCAGATAGCCTCTTTCGTTCTTAAGGAACGCAATAATTATTCCAACTTTAATTACTTTGCTGTTTACCACAGTAGTTAAAATTGGTGGCTCTAACACTATAACAATTGTTTGGTTAGACCGCAGAACTGTAAGTAAGACCCAGCTTTCCAGCAGGCAGGAAAGCAGTGAAGATCTGTGGCAGTATAAGGATGCCAAAGTTTCATCACCTGAACAGAGAAATCTGAAGGGAGGCATAGGGCAGAGATGGATCAGAGTATTTAGAGAGGTCTTATCGTTTGAGGACTTGATCTGCTGCGCTAGATAGCACATACTAGTGGATTTGCACTTGTTGTTACAGGGTTTAGTATATTGGTGCACTATTCATAACAATGACTAATAACAGTTATTCAGTAGTTCACATTTGAAGAGTTTTGTCCAAACCATTAACACAATAGGGTCTTATACTGGAATGACTTCCAAAATTAAATCAAATAACTAGAACCAATAATCTTAGTGAGGAAAACCTACACTGAAAACCTCACCACAAATGTTCTTATAGCAGTATTCTGCAGAATAAATATATTTGACTACTTCTGTATCATGTATTTGCAGGTAGGTACAGGTAGTTTCACACTTTAGTTTCATTGTCGTTACCATTCTAATTCACTGTACTGCAATGAAATTCACAAAATGGAAGAGGAATCTAAACCAAAGGCACACGGGTCACTTTAGCCTTGGTTTAAATCAAGACAAGGATTTTATCCTAAATAATTGCTATAGGGTATAGGTTACTATTTCTCCAATCTGGCTGTGGCAGTGTTGCAAGGCTTTGGCTTGTTTGTTTCTTTGTTTTATCATAGCATGCCCTAGAGTACACTTCAATCGGATAGGTATGCAAGTTCACAGTTGGCTTGTGTTTCACAGTTCTGCCAGCAAACTGTGTCAGGTTCATAGAGAATAAAACCAGCCGGTGGTGAGGGACAGCACAGTGAAATGACAGCACATCAACTACCACACTGAAATACCCAAATCCTTCAGGTTTCTATTTCTATCATAGTCACAAGCTGCCCAACTGCAGCAAAAATTTGGAAATAATTTGATCCGTCTGTGTTTTCCAGTTCAGGACTTACAGCATGAACCACATGGAAACCAAACATATGAAACAATCTGGATGCCTGATCAGAATGAATATGCTTTTCCTAATTTGTATTAACTCTTTGAAGCATAAATGGTTTATAGTGTATAACGACAATGCATTCCCTAAACAAAACAGAGCAAGACAAAGCAAAAGTCTTAATGGCAAAGCAGTTACTTAAAACCTTGAAACAAACTTTGGATGCCAAGAGAGAAAGGACACAAGTGTATATGGAGCACTGTTATTATATGGGATAGACTGGCTTATCTTACTAGGCTTATGCCACTTTACATCAGCCACGGATTTCAACCCCAATCATTGAGCAAGAACCACATGAGCAAGAATTATATGGTCCAAAATCACTACATCAGACAGCAAAGCAAGATCCAGTTGCCTAAACACAGGAGTCTAATGCCACTCAAGATAGCCAAAGGTGTAGGTCACTATAAACACAGTGTCCCAAGTGTTGCACTTTGAAGTGTCCAGACCAATTGCTCTCCTTTCTCTCTGAGAGTTGCTCCTACATCAACGTAACAGTCCACACAATTCAGTCAGCATACTGTAATGTAAGACAAAAGGAAAAAGATTGTCTTTTGAATGGCAGAGTTTGAAACTCTGGATTTTTTTTTCCAGGGTCCAAAGAGCCTTGCAAAACCATGCTTATAGCACTACAAAATTAACCGGCTACCTTCAGTGGAAAACTAAAAGAGAAGGCTTGAGAATTTTTATTAAGTGATTATCTGAAAAATCCCTTGGCAATTGTTAGTACTGAAGTGACGTGACAGCCAACGATTAATCTATTTTTCCACACCTCTGGCTTACATTGTATTATATTAAAACTAACATAGCAAGCTGTTTGTTCACCTGGACTTTTATGGACTACTGCAGCACCAAAGAATGGGAGCTGAGAATTGCTTTTACCTGAATTGTCTGCCAGTCGGAATCTACCACAACAGAGATGTCTCCTCCATTGCTTTTGCACATTTTCTTTCATAGCACAATGAAATACAAATATAAACAAACCTGTGACAAAAGCAAATAAATAGCAAATGAAACATTTGTATTTATAAATAGATAAACAGGTTAATTTAACTATGAAGTACAAGCAAAGGAAAACCACGTTAAAGTTTTCTTACTGTAATCTATCCACATGCCTTATTTAAGAGGTATGAATATTAATTAAAGCTTTCCTATCCTCTAGGTGCTATATTAGAGCCTGGGATATCAAAAGAGAAGAGGACCCCTTTTATTAATACTGTTCATTCAGATCCAGCTCAGTGTGGATCTTTTAATTATTTCTTTGGCTTAGAGGAAAATTATTAGAAGGTTTTGTCTTTGAACCAAATGAATATTTTGCAACCAACAGGACTGCAAAAGCCAAGATTGCAAAGTAAATGCAGACACTATTATATTATTAACATATTTTATCTCCTCCTCCTCCATATCTGCAGAACTGTGGGCTGTATTCTTTTAAAACCAGAAGTCTTGTAATTGGCACTTGAGAGTGCCCTGAAAAAGCACACTCAGATTTATATGCATCACATGCATGTACTCGAAATTATTACGAAAATGGTAAGAATATGTTCACAAATACTAATTAGGTGTCCAGCTACTCAGTTCTGAAGAAAATTACCTGCTTTGTGCATGCAATCACAACAAATGTGTTTAAGAATGCTTTTGCACAGTTCATTTTTCTAAGGCAATCGTATAATCTTTATTTTCAAGACAGAAGATAAGCATCTACCACGTGGTAAAGAAGGTCTTAACTGGGTGTATGGTATGATTTCATCATTGTACAGAGATACTTTGGAGCTAAATATGGAAGTTGGAAACCTCATATGATCCTGGCGCTTCCCAGGCGGGCCCTGGCTGTGGAATCTTCTGTTGTTCCCCGGGTTGGCCCGTTCTTGTTTTACTCTCACTCACTGGGAGAGAGCCAGTGTGGGGCTGAACACCTGATGGCTAAATGTTACCGCCAAATTCCTTATGATTTTATCTTAAACATTAATATATGCTACATAATGTGGTTAAGTGCCATCCTCTAAGCCTGTTCCATTATGAACATCATGAATGGATCTGTATACTAGTGCCGACTATGTTTCAGCTGGTGGAACACAACAGTAGGGTATAGTTTGGAAAAAAATGCTTTGGGGCATAAAATTATACTCTCTCCTCCAAAGTGCTGAGGTGTAATATTGCATGAATGCTTGTCATTGAACTGGACTTGGTTTTGCTTATAGGACTCAGGCCAGACTGAGACCACTGAGACCAGTTACCTATAGGTAAAGATTTTGTAATGAAACACATTTTTTGCAAAATTTTTCAAGAGCTGATGGGGAAAAAAAAAGAAAAGCAGAATATAAGAAAAGCAAACATACCTTAATGCATCCCATATGCAAGATCTGTTGCATTATGGTCACTGCGTTTGCATTTAGGAAAATATTTCTCTGTGTGATTTGCTTTAAGCACAGAGTAATCCCAATGCAGCTCTTACAGGCATAGAGATATGCAGTTGTTTGTGGCCCAAAGTACCTCTTAGGTCTTTTGCCCTGCTACAAACTTACTAAATTGATGCTTAATTAAATTGTGGTGAATATCTGGAACATTCTGAATGGTAGAAAAGAAAACGTGTATGTCTATAGTTTAACGAAACAAACGTACTGCATTAAGTATTTTGCCTTTGTCCTGTCTGGGCTTGGTCTCTGAATTGTTTTTCTCTGTATTTCATTATTCATTAAGTTTACAATAGGCTTTAGTAATACAGCTTTGGTTTTGTTTCCCAGAGCCAAATCAGACCCTAGGCTTGGCTCTGACTTGAAAGTATTTGGCTTGCCCAGGCATATATATATATAAAATGAGCCGCCAAAAAAAAGATGTTCCCAGATTTTTTACTCTGAGCATCAAAGAGAAAAAAGTCATTTCCCATGCAGATGAAATAGCAAAGTACAGTTACACCAGTAGTTGCCGCAATTTACTTTTTCACTGCCAGTGCACAGAAAACTAGGTTGATGGAAGCTGCTGGTATGGCTTAAAATACTACTGCAGTTTACAAAGATTAAGAAAGAGAATAAACATATTTACTCTGGACTCAGTAATTAAGCTTATGCTAATACTGAAGAAAGACTTGCCATACTGTACCGCTTTTGATGCTAGGAAATGCTTCCTGATACAAATCCTAAATTTTTCTCTGCTCCATTCCGTCCCTTTACTGCTACATGTGCACTGCACCAGTTATATGTGATTTTAAACATAACGAGACTGTTATCTTCCTGTGCTGAACTATACTGTGCCATCTTTGCTACCATAATCCAGGAAAAGCTCATGGTTCTTCTTTTTTTATTCACCCTGCAGGTTTTTCAGTTACGTCTTCTGACTTAACTGCCTTCCAAATAATTCATTTTCCACTGAACAGTGCTATTACCCCACAGAGACTTAAGCAGTGGTGGTCAACCTTGTGTGCACTCTGCGCATGCAAGCTTAATTGATTGCACTGGAAATTCTGGTTACAGAGAACTTGTTGAGTTTGATCCTTGGCATGCCTCTCAGATAATTAATCTGTTTTCATGTTCTTCCCATGCTTCTAATGTCTCTAGGCCCTTCTGAACTTCTAACAGGGACACATTGCAGCAGATACTTCATTATGCCGCTAGGGGAGTATCAGAATCTGGCCTTGTGAAGAAAAGGTCTTTAGTAAGAACACCACATCCAAACAATTTTTGCCATTTTGCAACCTAGCATTTTAGGTTGTAACTGAACCAAACAAAAACCACAACATTATTCTCTTTCCACGAAAGCTCAGTAAATCTTTTAGCGCAGTAAATACATCTCAACTGTAACAGATAAAATCCACACAGGGTAACATTATGTACTTTTTCCATAAAGGGAAGGTATTTTGTTGACCCTGGGAAAATTTATTTTTTATCTCAATATTTGTGTGGCATAACACACACTCCTCCAATGACATTCCTGAGTTTGTTTTTGTTATTCTTTTTCCAGGCAAATTTATTTTTTTATATCAGTACATGTGCTGTATAACACATGCCTCTCCAGTGACCTTCTTGGGTTTTTCTTTTTTTGTTATGTTCTTAGTTGTTCTTTATTAGTTGGTAGGGCAAGCGGAGGTAGAGATTCTTAACGTCACTTGGTACATACGCAAATTTCACCTCTGAGCTGATATTCTTTTAAATGTCAGATATATAGTTCTGTAATTCGTAACAGTTTGATTACAATTTACAACTTTTTCAGAATGATGAACTGCGTTGGAAAAGAAAATATTCAAATCTTCAGTAAAGGAAACAAAAATAAGCTGACTATAACAGTGGCTGGATTTTCCTTAAAGAACCAAAGAATATCCCATATGTCTATGCTGTCTCTCCACACTGAAACAGGACTGAAATTTCTTTTACAAGCCTCTTATGCCTTAATAAAATAGTTATGAGCTTTACAGATTTCCTACAGGAATAACTTAAGGAAAGAGGTTCCTATATTTGTTATAATCAGTGAAAGGAAATGTTGAACATTGTATAGCATCTAACTCAACAGAAGTCAATGCAAACTGTCAGGTGGGAATAGCACTAGTTACAATACAGTGCATTTTATGGAAAAGACCTGGAAACATTAATTAATTTAACTAAGATATTCAACCCATATGTAGTTGGTATCATTATTCCATCTAAGGGGAAACTAATGATGGTTTAGTATCAAGGAAAAACCTAGAGAGTTTGGTTCTGAGTTCTCTAGTCAAGTTACTGGACATAATATGTCCCAGAACAGCAGCAGCTCAAATTAGTTGTTCATAGAACAGAAATTCAGCTTACCTTGCAATGAATTGAAAATTGAGAAGAGATACAGAAAGGGAAGAGTTAAGGGACCCCAGGCAAAAAAGGCAAAGCCCCACGTCATGCCCAAGAGGAAGGTCAGGCTGACCACGCTACGGAGGTTCCTCAGGATCTCTTCCTTTAGGCTCCTATTAGTTCTTTTTCCATTCCTTCCACAAATTTGCACCATCACCACAATAAACATGGCAACATTCATCAGAAACATGATTCCAAAGTAGCCGGCACAAGTCACATAAAAGACAACTTCATTCTTGATCCAGCAGCTGTAAAAACATTTTGAAAACATTTTTAGATAATGCAAACTATCCTCCAATAATTTATATGACCATAAGGAAAATTAGTCTATCAGTCTGATGTCACTGATGCAGAGCTGTGCTTTAAACGAAACTTGTCCTTTTTCTGTTTGTAAACAGGATGAAGTCCAGTGGCATATTAAGTGATTACGGCCCATAGTAGTACCATGTCAGAAATCTGAAGATTGTACTGCATTTTAGTTAAAACTAATTAAAAAGGAAATCTGACCTCATATACAAGCCGTGGGACGATCCCACATGATCCCACATGATACAATCGCATCATGGAAAGTTTAGACTCAGTATGAGAGACTTCACCACTTCAATCTGTGTGAAGCATAGGACACTTCTGTAACAGAATACACAAGCTTGGATCTTTGTGCCAAAATCTCAATTTTCTACTGCTTGAGCTAAAAGAGAACTCATACATCTCTGGAGAAGTAGCAGGATTGGTAGTCCTTTGAGGTAGCCATTTGACAGCCAGCCACGTGAGAGATCTAGCTTATTTCTCTAGCAGCAAATAGCCGGAATGCTTAGCATGATACTTGAATAAAAATACAGAAAGACATTTTTATTTATAAGTATGAAGGTTTGCCAGGCAAGAAACAGAAAATGAGGTAACAGTCATATAAAAATTTTGGCATTTGGAGATTGCAATCTGGACATCAAGAGAACATAGAAAGCTACTGAACTACATTGACAAAACTCTTTTTTATTTACAAAGGAGACTATTTTTATACTACTTCTTTCTTGGCTCTTAGCTGGAAGATATAGCTGTCATTTAAGACAACCCGAAACAGGAATTTTAATTTTATTTTCATGACAAAACTTACGAATTATTCTTCTGCCAGAGGTGTTTGTACCTGTCATTGGGTAATGCCGATTTGCCTCCAATTTTTCTCATAGCCTTCTTCACACTCCAGACTCAAATAATTCAGAATATTATTTTGCCCATTTTGCTTGTTTTATGCACCTCTGACTTTTCCAAAGTAATCTGACCAATGCTATTTTTTTTCAGACTGTAAATACTGAATTTTAAGAGATTAAAAGAAATACTCACAAGTCGTCTCCTCCTTGTCCATTAGCATATTTGCCGTATAACTCTTTGCCATAAATATGACTTGCATTTGTATTAGCACTTGCAAAAACAATTGCTATCACCAAAGCTGGCAAACCTGTAACACAAGAAAACTTGCAGCTTGCTTTCAAATCTCCTAATCCTTCAAAATCACCATGCAAAGATGAATTGTTGATGTCTCCATTCCTATTGCTTTAGTACAGAGTATCTTAAGGTAGTTCTATGTCAGAAAACTGCACAGAGAAGTAGAAGGAAATGGTTTTTCAAACAGTGCAAATGTATAAAACTTTCAAAGCACTTAGTGGGCATTAATGAATAAGCCTCATAATGTTCTGTAAAGTACAAAATGTTATTTTGGTATGCGATAAAGAAACTAAAGTAAAATAATCTCCTTACTCAAAGATAAATTTGTAATTGCACACAGGCTCTCATAATATAGTGAGAAAAAGATTAAGAAACTATTACAAAAGTGAGATGTAATGGAAGGATGGCTCTGGGATATTTTTTTAAGGATTTTTTTTCAGATATGCTAATGTCACTTGATTAGGCTGGAGAACTGGGCAAGATGAATTTGAATCTCCGATTTCTCCACTGCTTCTTTCAACTGTAAATGTTTTCTCTTTGTTTATAGCATTATACATCCTTTACTTAAATGTGTCCTCCTAAAAATGAAGCAAACTAAATATTTTTTAATATTAAGGTAAAGGCAATATTTTGGGAAAATAGACAAGTATGTGGAAGAGAACTCCATGCAGAGGTACAGCTCACATAGAAGAAACATGCTTTTCCTGACATGCCTTATTTACATGACTTATCCTTGCTATGACAGAACAGATTCAAAGGGGAAGAGGTTAATTTGCTTTTCCGACCACTCAGTCCTTGCCCTCTGCTGAAGTTGCCAAAAAGGATGCTAGTTGCCAATGAAAAGACATCAATTATCAGCTGGACTGAGGTCAGTGCTCTAGCCATGAGGTTAATGGTTTTGTATTGTGTTGTATTATTTCAAACACAATATGTGCATTCAGGCAGAAGGCACAGATTCCTGATACAGAAAGAAATGAAGAATAAAAGTCTCACAGTTATTTTTCAGTATTACATTTTCCATTTGAGTCCTGCTGTGTACACTGCTTAGGGCAGGCAGGATCTCTCTGTGGTTTAAACACTGTGCTGAAGCTCAGGAAAATTTGCCTGCTTCTGATTCTGCCATAGGCTTTGTGCTTGTTGGCAAGAAACTGAGCTGGATTGAAAGCTTTTTGAAAGTCAGTGCAAAGATCTCAAAAGGCTTTGTGGTAATTTCAGGAGTTTCTGAACTCATTGTGTGCCACGGTTCTCCGTCTCTGATACGACACTAACATTTCCCCTCTCCCATGCTGGCCTCTCTGGAAAGTAAGACCAGTTTATCTGGTCTCTCCGTTCCTCCTCAGGCTGTGAGCTGCTCCAGGCAGAGAGTGCCAGTTCTGGTGTATTTACACAGAATTATACAACTTGGTGACAGAAAGCGCTGGCTGCACGTCAGCACTGCCACAGGGCAGGGGGAAGGAAATGTCATGCTGATTTTGGTTATGTTCTGCAATTGCAATAGAAAATTCATTTCAAAATACATGCTATGTAAATACTGCATCCACTGAACTCACCCCAGCCAATGATGCAAAACTTCAGTATGTATCGTCGTATATATGTGTTGAACACTTTCACTAGAGCAATGTACATATGAACAGCTTCTAGTCCCATCCACGTAAAGGTGGCCAGAAGAAAAAAATGCAGAATTGCAGCTACAGCTATGCAGAGGCCATCTATGTCAAATGATGCAATCCAACCATCAAGCAAGAAGATCAGGTTAAGAAAGAGCAGGGCTGTGCTCAAATTCATCAGGATTTTGGATGGATAATCTCTTCGCAACTTCCTAATGAGAGAAATATTGGTTCATATGATTAATTGGTTTCTATCAGCGCTTACAGCAGCTGGGTTTACCAGTTTACAAAGTAAACACAAGCACAGGAATCTCCTCCTAGCTGTAAGCTTATGTGGCAGTAAGCCATAGTGCTATTGGCTTCTGCTGTGTCTGGTGAGGGAAAGCTACCACTTCTTTGGGTCCTTAAGGAGCTAATTAACTACCACAGTATTTTAGCAACTGATTTATTATTTAAAAACCTTTCAAATTAAATACAATACAATATGTTTGGTACTTTAAATGAAAACTGAAGAAAACAAAAACAAAACTTTCAAAATACAACTGACCAGAAGCTCATCTCTGATAATTTTATGAGCAAAACTTTAATTAATTTTTGGTATATATTGTCCAGTGCATGTTGTTTTCTGTTTGGTGTTTTTGTTGTGGTTTTGGTTTCTGGGTGTTTTTGTTTTTGTTTTCTTAAATAACATCTTAGGAAGACTGAAGATCAAGTCAATTTTCTTTTTTCACTGATACACACTAAAACGTAAGAACTACGGGGCAAGCTGAGTTCTGCCATTTTGGACCAGAACACTATACCATAGGTAGTGCAATAGGAACACCATCATGGAGGATATTTAGAACTCAAAAACCTCACTTTCCCCCCAGCTCAGCAAACTATCCTTCTTTAGCAGCTACTCTGTCCCTGTCCTGTTAGAGGCAGAACGGTCCCTTTGAGTTGACTTGACTTCATTTTCTCTTTTCATTGTTCACAGAACTGTATCACTTCAAAACTTTTGAAGTCCCTTGAGTCACTTTCACAATTAAGAAGGGATGCTGTTGAAATAGTTGTAACACTTCACAATTTATCTTCCTTTTATTTCTCTTCCCACTCCTTTCCCAAGGAATGTAATAGTTCCAGTTGGAAATTTATTTTTTTATACTTAGGACTTGTTATGCTCACACAGGCAAGTTTTGTTTTGTTTTTACAGAAAGCCTAGTTGTGGATTTTAAAATAAAACATATCTGTTCAGAATCTAGAGGACACCCTACTTCCAAAAGAGAAAATTTTGAGACACATTAGCCTTGTTCCCAGGCCTAAGCAGCACAACACATAGGAAACAGGACAATGGAGTCTGAACTTACATTCCCATGAAAAAAAGTTTCCACTTACAAAATTGTGACCATGATTTTGCAGGGTTTTTTTTTTAAACATAAATTTCCCTTCCTAGACAAATAACCCCCACCAAACATATAAATAATGTATTTTATTAATCATATACATGTTCTTTCCTTTGTGATGTTTTTTACAGAACTAATACTTACTCAAATGCAATATATGTCAGAAGAGTTGCAGCTGAAAATATAGCAGATATCCCACAGCCTATGTAAGTGATAAAGGTGAGGACCTTGGTATTCTGTGGGTCTATTTGTGTAACGGTTCTCTGAAGGTCCTACATGAGAGAGGAGGAAGAGGCATCAGTCATAGCAAACACCTTTTCCATGAGCACAATGCTTTTTCTTGGTAATTAGTCAAGTAAAACTCAAAAGCACTTTGGCAATACCACTATAACCCTGACATTAGGGTTCATGTTTACTGAGCATACTTAGTCTACAGTCGTTACACCTCTCACTTCCTTCCCATAGCTCTTGAAAACATTGTGCTGTAAGAATTATGAACTGCTGGGATCAGCAGATAGACAGAGCCCGATACTGATCCTTATAACTCAGTATCAGCAATTCAAATGTCCTCTGGTAAAATCTCCCCTTTTCAAACTTTTTAGTTCAGTTGCTTATCGACAACTCTCTTTAAGAAGAAATTTATGTTGCATGTGTATTGAAAATGTAATTTTAAAGTATTCATACTGAAATGTGCAACATTCCAGGGAGTTTCTGACATCACTTATTGTTATTAAAAGTTCATAAAAGTCAGTTTAGCTGATCATCTATGGGTGAAACCAAGGGCAAGATACTGCTTTTTGGTTTTATGATCTGTTCTGACATGCAAACTATGGTTATAAATAGAACTGGTCAGAAAAATAGTGACAAAGACAACATTTTAAAAAAATATGGAAATGAAGCAGGAACATTCTGAGGAATTTTTTTCCAGTTTTCTGTCCAACTGTAATTGCCACATAGTACTGTCTGAGAATAAATGCCAGTGTTACTTCCTTTTTTAAGGACAAGAAAAAATGAGAATGTTTGGATCTATGTAACTGTGGAGTAAATGTGAGCAAATACTAACATATAATGATGTCCATTCTACAGACAGTATCACTGTTGTCCCTAGAAAAACTCTAGCAAAAAGAAACCAAGAAAATGCTACAAAACACACCATTCTTCATAGGAAAATAAAGGGACTGTATGCAGTTTTTTACACCCTGTTCCAGCCTTATATGGCAGTTTGTTTATATATAAGGAGAGTGTTATTTTAAAACAATTTAATATCTATATTGAAGTCAGAAAAGATTATTCAAATGGAAAAGCAATTAGAACGGCCAAAACTGCATAAAAAAATCTACTGGAACACAGCTCACATTCAAAGAACTTCTGCCTTATTTCCTACTGCCACAAAAGTGTTGGGGGAAGAGAAGGGACTCATTGAATATATCTTAAAGAAGGCCCTTTTTTTCTCCTTTCAAGGATGAAAAGTGAAACAAGACCACAATTTAGCTTGCAAAAAAACAAAAAGCTTGTGACTTTTTCATATCTACATCTGAGCATGACATGAAGAGAGCAGCTCTATTAAGAAGGCTCTGGAAGGCCAAAGCTGAAAAAAATCAGTGCATGTGGTTCCTTTGTGTGGATAAGCCCTCTGTGTCATTGCAGCAAGTTAACTCAAAACCCAGGTACTTCCACTAGGAACACTGCTGTGATCAGGAGCAAACATCTTTTCTGCAAGTATGTTTTAGAGGCCAAAGAATGTTCATTTCAGATGAAAATAAACGTTTTGGCCCATTACTGTGCTTATAAAAATCACCAAATATTAAGAAAAGATAGCAGTATTCTATCTTTGTCACGTTAAGATTTTTTCCTCTCAAAACCACTTCATACGTGCAAATTGCTGGAGGCACCTGAGTGCTAGAGGACTCATGCTACTGAGGCTGAAGTATTGTTCCCTCTCTCTCGCTGATACACTATGCTCTACTTATCCCAGCCACCCAGTATGGAGACTTTGCTTGAGGATCTGACAGAGCACAAGTTACATGTTTTGTACCAGCCCTCAATAGGCAGATTTTTTCCAAGAGAAGGCCTCGACTGCAGGGCATCCCCAAGGCTGACTGAAGTCATTTATAAGAGAACAGTAGATACAGGTTTACACATTTCACAAAAGAAGGTATTCCTTTATACTTTTTGACATTAGACAAATATAAATATTGTCAGATTTGCAAGCTAAATTTGAAAGCCCCTTGAATCTCAGAATGAATGGGAATTATTGTGCTCCCTTGACTTTTCATCCTCATTACCAGTTTTACTGATTGTAGGACTTCTTTCTTTCCCTGATAATTTTCCCTGACAATGTCTCTCTTTTTTTTGTTCTAAAAACAGTCTCAACTTTTTCTCCCACTTTTTTTTTCTGCAAACCACTTCTCACTTTCCTGATCTTGACATTTCAAATCTACCCAGACTTGTTTCTCATTCACTTCCCTCTTGTTACACCTTCCTGTCTCAACTGCAGGTAATTTTTGAAAGATAATATTGTTAAGAGAAATGACAGGGACCTACTGCACCTTAGGACTCATGAAGAGATTTTTTTTTTCTGTTTCGTTAGTGGACGTGTTATTACTGGGCCTTGGTTTTACAGTCCCTGACTTTGTTTTTCACCAAGCCACATCCCAACTTTGAAGCTGCATGTTATAATATGCTATTTTTTTGGTATCGCTCAGAAGCCTCAACCTGATGTCTTTTGTGACAAAGTATTTTCAAAATTTAGAACACTAAATGTTCACATACCATTGCATATTCCATTATTAACTTCATTCATGATCTCATTCCTGAATCCTTATTACTAGCTATTTTGCTATGAAAAGATAACTTTGTGACAAGGGGCAAAATGATGTATTACTATTAAAAATTGTGTACAAAAAGAATAACCCATGTAACAAAAATGAGAGTTGTCTTGACCTCGGACAAAAACTGCATTGCAGCTGCTATGAAAGATAGCTTGTTGAATAATGAGTTTGCCTACCATTAGAACCCCAAAGTGTGTGAGGTGGTTGCATAAGCAAATTGTCTCATTTTCATTGGACTCTGCATCCACTTGGCAGCCCACAGGGTTCCAGCCACCATTGCCACCTGTGGAAATGAAATGGGAGAAACCATACATTCCAACAAGCTCATATCACCATTTCTTTTAGCAGAATCCTCACTTTGTCTTGTGCAAATGACAAGTGCTTTCTCAAATGAAGTGAGTGAACATTAAAAACCGTAAGGAAAGAAAAAAGTGTCAGACTTCCTAGTTTCTACAAAGATTCACACCAGGTGAGTGTCCCTGTAATGGCCTACTGAGCAGAAACAATAGATGGAGATCTATAATAAAGGTGGGGAGCTTTTTGGTTAATTCAAGGATGAGTAAGACCTACTGTGTGGATCTCCCATTAAGACACACCTTACTTTTGCCCAACAATAAGATGTTTTTAGAACTCTCTTTTACCACACTGATGTGATGTCTGCACCTGCCTCCCTCCTACTCATATATCCCCAGGCACATGAAAGCCTTTATGGCCCAGGAGCAGAGAGTCCGGCTCTTCCTCTCTGCAGTGTGTAATGGAGAAGGTCAAAGTGGATAATACCAATTATCCTTTCTGGTCTTAAAGCAAAATACATGAAGTAAACTATCCTGTACTTATTCCACCTGAAAAGGCCATTCTGAAAAATGAAAGTTGAAAGATTTTATTTTTAAAAAAATACATGTTAAAAAGTAAAATTAGTATTTCTGATTATTTCTCCTTTCATTTTTCCCTTCTAAAATAAGAAGTAATTTTTTGAAATAGTTCATATTCTCTGAACTCTTAAAGACTTTTTTCACAACTTCAGGCAAAATCCAGCAAATTATCTGTCTGGCTCTATAATTTTACCTCAAATTCAAGACAGGATCTCTCAAAAGACTCTGAAGATGTTCCAAAACCACTTAAAACTATCCCCCACTCAAGAAGCCACTGAGAATAGGTTCTTCCCTGTGTGCTTCTCCTTTGATGCGATTCTTAAGTTTAGCTTAATAACTAGATTCTTTTTTTTCTCTCTCTTTTATCCTTCTGCATTCTCCTCTGTTCTTCTGTCTGAATTTCCTGCTTTCAAGTACAACTTAGGATGATAAATCTTAATTTTTGCAAGACTCTCTCTACTAAACCTCACCACCCGAAATTCTACTGCTAAGGACAGCTACTTCTTCACTCTATCTGTTTCATTGCAAGGAATAGTACCATATCAGTAGTGATCTCTAAAATAGAAGGATCTGGAAAGTCAACCCAGAGAATGGCTTTGTCTGTGCAAAGGATGAATAGTCTGAGTGTAACATCACATGGGTTAGGCTGTAGCAATGAAGAACAGACTAAAATGTTGCCTTATTAATGTGTGTCTCCATATGGACCTCATCATGCTGACTGTCATGCATTCACAAAGTGGATGAAGTTTGCATAAAGTAGTTCCTAATCTTCTGTGGAAGAAAAACCAGCTTAAGATTTATAACAGGCACTATCTCACTATTAAATAACCAAACATTTTTTAAATGACCAGTTAAAAATACGACTAAGAACCATTCACGTGTTTGAGTAGTGTTACTACTTAATTTGCACATACAGACAGATCAGTGAAAAACTGCCACCAGACACAGAAAAGTAGAGAAATTTAATTTACAAATTTAAATTGTTAAACAAATTTAAATAAAAACTTTTTAGAAGAGTATTTAACATCTGCTGTTACAAGCAACTGTACTAACCTGAAGAAATTACACAGGCTAAAGACTTAACCTAATTCTGCAAGGACTGATTAAGAAGCAAAATGGCCAAGACTGTGATCTATTTTAAAACTTAGACACCTTTATTACCCACATAAAATAAATTCCAGTATTCTTAAACTTACCATTTTTGTGCATATCCCAAAAGACACAGGTAGGCTTAGGATCTTCCTAAGAACACATGCAAAATTAGACTTTATATACCTCTTCAGACATAAATGTCATCAACATATACATTTACAGCAGATGGTTTACTACATATATTTTCATTTTATGAGTATAAGAATATATACAATATGGATTGTTGAAATTTTGTGTAGTGTCAAATTAGAACTTATTCTGCTAGAAAGACAGATCTGCCCAGATGATAAAACCTAGAGCACTGTTCCTCTCCACTGTTCCACAACCTCAAACTAATGAAGTTTTATCACCTCACTAAAGTTATTAATGAGTATTCTGTCTTTACAGAGACTAAATAGATTTTACTGTTTACTTCCTCAGGAAGTGGAAGTGGATCTTCTGGATCTTCTCAGTAGATCTTCTATGTAGCTGGTGTG